ATTTAAAAGGTAGAAAAAAACATGTAAAATTAATTTTAATGACATATTTAACCCAACATATCTAAAATACTATGACTTAAGAATATAACATAACCACAATTCAAGTGCTCAATATCCACATGTGGTTGGTAGCTACTGTATTGTACAGCACAGATCTAAATGCAAACATTAACTACATGTCCTTTTGATAATCTACCATATTTATTATTTCTCTCATCAGCTTGCAATAAGTATTGAGCAGCAGTGAGATCAAAATTATATTCAATGACACATATATGTGTTGTCAACTAAGCATAGCTTTGACAACCCACCAAGCTAGGAGTAGACTTGACATCCATTTGTGGAAATTGAATTACTTGATATAGTCATGAGGCTGAACTGAAGACTATCACTTCAGTGCCTTTAATAGGCTAAAGATGTTTTTATGTATATTGACAAAATTATCTTCAAGAAATAATTTGAAGGATTTTCTAATGTAGTCTAGGTTTTAAAGTTCTATGCAACAGAGAAACATTGCAATACTATTGGCCCAAATTTAAAAAAAGAAAGAAAAGAAAAGTAGTTAACCATTAATACACAAACTAATGTATTAGGAAAAAAAAATCTCAATCAAGCTTTATCAAACTGTCCCAATTTTTTAAAATATATTTTATTGGTTTTTTACAGAGAGGAAGGGAGAGGGATAGAGAGTTAGAAACATCGATCAGCTGCTTCCTGCACACCCCACACTGGAGATGTGCCCACAACCAAGGTACATGCCCTTGACTGGAATCAAACCTGGGACCCTTCAGTCCGCAGGCCGATGCTCTATCCACTGAGCCAAACCGGTTAGGGCCTGTCCCAATTTTTGGTCAGTATTTATCTGAGTGGTAATTAAGATAAACTGCCTTAAAATGTATATCTAGAAAGTTGATATGACTCACTAAGTGGTGATTATTAGCAATAAAATAAATGCAATTATGGTATGTTTTTTGAAGATGATCATTTTTGTTTTAGAATAATCTATAGCTCACATCTAATAAAAGGTAGAATGTATGGCCAATTATCTAATAAAGTCATTTTCTAGATCTTTATAATAAAACCACACCATCCAGAAAATTGAATAAAATGTAGTTATTGAGAAGGAAGTATAAGCTTTACATGTACTAATATGGGAAAAGATCACATTATGTTAAATTTTTAAAATTAAGTTACAATTTATACATAAATAGAAATACAGAAAACAAAATTTATTCTGGAAATGGATTGAGGAGAAGGGGGAACCTAGATTTTTATTAATTTTTAAAATTGAGATGTAATTGACATTCTATTAGTTTCACTTTTTTATAATTTAGAAAAATAAAGATGTATCATTAATATCTTGTTTTCTGTAACAGATGGGTAAACTTTGAGCTCACACAAACTAATGTATTGAATTACAAGATTGCAAATTAGAAAAAGTGGTGAAAGTACACCTACTTCTTTTTTCCCCCAAAGGAATATTTTATTAACCAAAAGATTATATCTGACAATTCCAACTTTTGTGGAAATTTTAACACACAGGTTTGGATTGAACCGTATCTATCTAATGAGTTTGTTCAGTGTGGACCATATTGATTCCTAGGCATTGAGTTCAAGATTGATGAAAGGCCCCTAAAAGAAAGAAACCACTTCATGTTTCTTCAAACAAACTTATCCACATAAGCACGAAGAGAATACAAGTTGCTAAATGTGGTGAACTTCTGCTTCCAATCAAGGATGGAATTTACTTTCTCACCTTAAACAACTAAAACAACAGAAAATATATATAAAACAATGGTTTTCAGATACTGGACAACAGGCAGCACAGAGCAGTCATCCCTAAGAAAAGGGAAAGAAGCCCTACAATTGCCTCAACATATTCTCTGGAGAGAATTTATAGGGCAAAGCCCAGGGAAGAGGAATTGAAACAAAATCTAGCAGTTTTCCTGAATTAAGAAGACAGAGTTTAGGGTTCAGGAAGGCCAAGACAAGGCATGTAGAATTCACAGCAAAGCACTGCAGAGAGGGGGGGGGGGGGGGGGGGGGGGGCGCGGGGGGGGTGAGAAAGAGAGAAGTAGAGAGGTATGGAAGTAGAGAGTGCTGAAACTACTGAGGCCAGGGAAATAACTAACAGAAGGCAACAGAGCCAAATAAAATTCATATTCCCACCAGCCAGAGTGGAAACACCTAAGACACAGGGCATGGAGTAGTGTACTCAGAAGTATATTGCCTCAGTAGTGGAGCCAAACTAGAACTAGACCAAAGCTCTCTGGATACAGAAATATAATACATAACCAAGAGAAAAGTCAGTAAATACAAACAGACAAAGAATTGGTATCAATGCGAGAATTAGTAGAGAAGGATATGACAACCACTATTTTAAATATTCTCTGTGTGTTCAAAGAGTTAGAGGAAAACATGAGCAAAATGCAGGGAAAAAAGAAAGGATTTTGAAAAAGACCCAAATATAACTTATAGAATAAAGAATACTATGTCTAAAATGAAAATAGAACACTGATTAACAGCATCCAAGAAACTGAAGAAAATATTGTTGAATGTGAAGATATAATAATAGAACAATACAAAATAAAACAGAAAAAAAAATGGAAAAGGAAAATGAATCAGTGACCTGTAAAAAGTATCAGCTGCCTAACATAAGTGTAAATAGAATGGCAGAAAGGGAGGAGAGAGGTGGGTAAACAGAATAAATATTTTACTAATGGCAAAAAATTTGGCAGACTTAATGAAATCCCTAAATCCAGGAATCATAATAAAGAAAGAGCAGGAAGAAAAAAGAGAAAAGGAGAAGAAGAACATTACCATACCAAGGGACATTACAATCAAATTTCTTAAAACCAATAATAAAGAAACAAAATCTTAAAAGTAGCCAAAGGAAAGGAAAACCCACTGCATAAAGAGGAAGAAAGAAAGACAGCAAATATCTCATCAGAAACAATAGAAGTCGGAAGTTAAAATGTTCTTAATGCACATGAAAGGGTATGAGTCAGAAATGTGAATTTACACAATGAAATAACACTGAAAATGGGAAATACAGAGTGTGCCCCAAAAAATGTATACACACTTTAACAGCTGATAGCTCAGACATTTCTTTTCAGATTTAATTCATTGGAATGAATAATTATCAAAGTGTGTATAAATTTTGGGGACACCCTGTATATGTATACATATTTTTTCTTTTAAAATTTCTTTAAAATATGATTAAAGAGATTCTTAAAGGAAAATTATCACAATGATTGTGGGTTTTATAACATATATAGAAGTAAAATATATTACCACATTAGGACAAAGATTGGGAGAGGGATAAATGCAAGTATTCTTTTATAAGGTTCTTATACCACATGTGAAGTGGTATAACATTATTTGAATGTAGCCTGTGATTAGTTAAACATATATATTTATAGTAAACCTTAGAATTTTCACAAAAGAAAAACAAAATCCAAACATAAATAAAAATAAGGCAGGATTTTTAAAAAGGATGAATGAACAATGGGATATATAGAAAACAAATAGCAAGGTGGAAAACTTAAATGTGAATATTTAAAAAATCACATTAAATGTGAATGGCCTAAGCATGTCATGTAAAAGAGATTGTTAGAAAGAATAAAAATTATTTGCTCTCCATTAAAAAAAAACTTTAAAAATAAAGACACAAATAAGTAAAAAGTTGAAGAATGGAAAAATACTATGTCACCACAAATCAAAGGAATGCTGGAGTGGTTATATTCATATCAGACAGAGGAGATTTTAGAATACAAACTTTTTGCAGGTTTAAAAAGCATTAAAAAGCAATGATGAAGTGGTTAGTTATTCAAGAAGATATGGTAATTCTAAATACTACGCACCTATTAGCAGTGTCAAAAATATATAAAACAAAAACTAATCTCTATATATAAAAGTCTAATATGCAAAGTGTCGCCTTGGGAGTTCAACCTGGCAACCGGGAGTTTGATTGCTTGCTATGACATGCACTGACCACCAGGGGGTGGTGTGGAATGAAGGAAGCCTGGCCAGCAGCCAGGGAAGGAAGGCCCCCGCTGGCAGCCAGAAGGCTCCAACCTAGGGACCCTACCTATGCATGAATTTCATGCACCGGGCCTCTAGTAGAACTATAAGAAGAAACAGACAAATCTACAATTATAGTCAGAGATTTCAGTAATTAATAGAACGCTACCAACCAGTTTGACCTAATTGTCATTTATTGAACACTCCAGCCAACAATAGCAAAGTACACTTTTTTTATAATTAGGAATCATTAAGATATCTGAAAAAATCCCAAAATATTTTAAAATCAAAAAATCTAAACAAACTCCTAAGTCAAAGATGTCAGAAGGCAATTAAAAAGGTATTCTGAGCTTAATAAAAATGAAAGCATTGCATGTCAAAATTTGTGGGATGCAGCTAAAAACTATACCTAGAGGGAATTTTATAGCTTTAAATACTTGTAATAGGAACATATAAAGGTTTAAAGTCAAATATCTAAACTTGCACCTTAAAAACTTAACAAAGAAAAGCAAATTAAATCCAAAATAAGAAGAAATAGTAAAAATCAGTGCAGAAATTATTGAAATGGAAAATATGTAAACGTTAGAGAAAATCAATGAAAAGCTGGTTCTTCGAGGAGAGCAATAAAATTAATAAACCCCTCGCCAGACTGATCAGAAAAAAAAGGGGGGTGGGGGGAGAGAGGAGGACACACACACACACACACACACGCACACAGAGATGAAAATCACTATTGGTGCCTCATATGTTCAAAGAATAATAAGGAAATACTATGAACCTCTTAGCCCAGCACCTCTTCCTTAAGGCAAAGCTTCTCTCTAGCTTTGACTAAACCTGAAGACAGGGCTCAGATAATTATGCTTTTTGGCTATTTTCCAATGAATATAGACTTACCTAAATTAGAAATGTATATCCTATGTTAAACTTTAAATACTTTTTACTAGACATACAAATGCTGCAACGTCTTTTAATTCTAGGTACACATCAGTTTTTAAGACAGCTGTGAAAGAGGACATGAAAAAAGTTAAAACTGCAATGAAGACTATGGGGCCACCAAGAGTTGAAGTACCTTGTCCAAAGGATTTCCTGAAGAAACATTCAAAGGAAAAAGCTGCGCCGCCCAGTAGGTTTTATCACTCTTTTTCATAGTAACAGAAGTTTATTTTGCCACAATTCTGAGGGCTGGACCCAAGACCAAGGTGCTGTCAGGGTGGGTTTTTTTTCCTAAGGTGTCTCTTCTCTTGTAGGTGGCAGTCTTTTCCTGTCCCTCCACATGGCCTTCCCTCTGACTGTGTCTTGGATTAGGGCCCACCCTAATGACCTCATTTTAACTTAAGTACCGCTTTAAAGATCCTGTGTCCAGCCCTGGCTGGTTTGGCTCAGTGGATAGAGCGTCAGCCTTTGGACTGAAGGGTCCTGGGTTCAATTCCGGTCAAGGGCATGTACCTTGGTTGCCGGCACATCCCCAGTAGGGAGCGTGCAGGAGGCAGCTGATCGGTGTTTCTAACTCTCTATCCCTCTCCCTTCCTCTCTGTAAAAAATCAATAAAATGTATCTTTTTAAAGAAAGATCCTGTGTCCAAACACAGTCCCAATGTGAGATACTGGAGGTTAGGTCTTCAATGTATGAATATTGGGAGAACACAATTCAGCCCACAACAAAAGGTAAATCTAGTCCATAGGTTTGTTTTTAATAATAAGTAGAGGGTGGGGCCAAGGAGGTTTACAGTTGTGAATACATGAAGCTGAGAGATTATTCCTGTATTATTATTTATTAATGATTGTATTATTTATTTGTATTACAACTGTAAACCTACTTTTGCCCCACCCTGTATGGATTTTTTTTAATAAATAATAAAAGTTATATAAGCTCATAAAATGCTCCAACAATGCAGAGATAAATAAAGTCAAAGTCCCTAGTAATTGTGATGGGGTTAAGATTTGAGTAAGGTTTTTCAAGAGAGTTGTTGCCTTTGGCCCTTAGGCGGGGGGGGGGGGGAAGTAATTATTTTACATTTTAATATTTTTACAAGCCATTTTGATGTGGCTCTGTCAAAAAAGATGAGTTGGATTGGTCAGGTTGAAGAGACTATGTAAAAATGGACAGTTTCACCTGCAGCTAATGAAGAGAATTTGGTATAGAGAAATAAAATAAATGTGCATAGCAGTTATTTTAGGTGAGCTGCAACCAGGGAGGAGTGAATAGGAAACTTCAGTTATATTGGTAATGCTTTATTTGGTAAGCTGTATGTTAGGTACCTTATATTAATAGTAGTTTTAGTGGAAAAAAAATAGATTCTTGGGTTTTCAATACATCAAGTTTTTTAATTTATGTGGTGATTTTACAGTAACTTTCCTCTGAAGAAACAATTATAATACTGACAATACTCATAAAAAAAGTTTTAAAGTTTGAACTTTTTTCAATGGGAAAGCTGAACTTTTGTTGTTGAAATCTTTATAAGAAAATATTTTCACAATAGCTAGTTAAAATAGTTTGCTAACATATATTTGGGGTGCTTATCTTCTTCCTTAGACTTTTATACTGTTCTTCGAGATATTAATTAAGTTGCACTTAATTTTTACACTTACAATTACTGATTTTTTATCTTAAACATTTGAATATATTGTAATAAAACTTCAATATACTAGTGGTAAAATATCTAGATGTTACAGATAGCACTAAGTAGCAATGTTTATAGTTTAATATTAACAAGGATATATTATATTTAACAGAAAAGAAATTTGATTGGTTTGGGACCAGAAAGCCTCCTGTGCCACTGAGGACTGATCATCCAGTCATGGGCGTACAGAGTGGAAAAAATTTTATCAATACAAACGCAGCCGATGTCATTATGGGAGTGGCTAAAAAGCCTAAACCAATTTACGTTGACAAAAGAACTGGAGACAAGCATGATCTTGAAAGTTCTGGACTAGTTCCAAAGTACATCAATAAAAAGGTAACCTTGTGATATATTAATTTTAGACCTGAGGTTCAAATAATTTAAATATAATGTTCATAATAATTGTCCATATTATCAGTAATTGTGCTCTCACTGGACAAGTTATCTAGGTTACCAGTTCTCATTCTCCTGAAATCTGTGTTTGGTGCAAATCTTGAAATGAATACCATATAGTTCAGTAGAGGAAAACTAATTATTTTTCTTTAATTTTAATTTTTAATATATTTAATAATTATAACAAACATTCTCTAAAACATAATAATTTTAGGTGGACAGCCATTAAAAGCACAGTCATTACTATAAATCTAAAAAGAATAACCTTTCAGAAGAGCCTAAGATTTAGTTATTAGGTTTCAGTGTCTTGTAGCAGAATGAGAGAAATGAAGAGTAAAACAACTTTAGAGCCATCCATCCTATTAGCTTAATGTAGCTAATTCACATTATTTCAACATGAATTTGCTTTTAGTGTGAAATAAAGCAGACCTTGAAAGTACTGGACAGTAATCGAGTCCTCTGGGACCTTCATTTCTATTTGAAAAGGCATTAATCATATGAACATATAATTTCATCAGTAAAAATTATAGAAGCTTGGGTTTAATTGTTTAAATATAGACGATCTTTAAAATTAAAAAAGCTTACCAAAAAATACCTTATACAAAACCTATTTTACTTTGTATACTTCCTATATAATAAAAGCCTAATATGCAAATCGACCAAATGGTGGAATGACTGGTCAGCGGGGTCAGGGCTGGTGAGCAGGTGGCACCAGGCCAGCCAAAGTGGGTATCAGCGGGAAGAGGGAAGGGACAGCAATCAGGAGGTGGCGGTGACCAGCGGTGGCAGAGGGGTGATTGGGGGGATGGGGCCGTCTGCTCATCAGCCAGCACCATCCCACCCCCCACCCCCCATTGGTCCATGGGTCACTCCCCACAGAGGGAGGCCAGACTGCAGCTTAGGCCCACTCCCCGCAGGAAGTGGGCCTAAACCGCAGTTGGACATCCCCTGAGGGCTCCTGATCTGTGAGAGGGCACAGGCCAGGCTGAGGGACCCCCCGCAAGTGCATGAATTTTTTTTGCACCAGGCCTCTAGTATAGAGCATAAAGGTACTTGAAACACACATGGTAATATGAGTGCAAAACACACATGGCAAATATGAGTGCAAAACCCTAAAAATAATAATCTATATATATAAAAGGCTAATATGCTAAGTTCCCCTCCCACTGTCCGACAAGTCGCTATAACATGCACTGACCACCAGGGGTCAAACACTCAATGCAGGGTCTGCCAATCTGCAGTGACTTGGCAGTGGCAGTTTGCAGATGATGCACCCCGAAACCAGAGAGGAGGGAGCCCAATTCCTCGCAGGGCCACATGATTCCACCTTCGGCCATGGGTTATGTTGTTGCTGGGGCACCATCAGCCCCAAATCTGGTTTACTGCACACTTGCATGTGCATTCCACACTCTGTATGACAGCAACTTTGCAGAGTGCTCTCTTGTACTCTGGGACCCCTCGGGGGATGTGGGAGAGCTGGTTTCAGCCCAACCCCCACAGGCCAAACTGAGGGACCCCACCTGCCGGAAGGACCCCGCTCACTCCGCAGATGCCAGGGAGGAACCAAGGGAGGTTGGCTCCAGGGTGTGTCTGGCCCATCTCACCCAGTCCCGCCCCACCGGCCACCTTCTAATTAATTTCCTTTCAATGTGCATGAATCTGTGCACTGGGTCACTAGTGCATAATAATAATAAGGTGTGGCAAAAAAGAAAGAAGGAAGAAAGCAAGGGAGAGAAAAAAGAGAAACAAAATTGTGTTGACGTATGAGGGGGCTTGTGTTGAGGTAATCCAGTGATCTACCATGAGAAATCCTGTGCCTGTTCAAAATCAAACAGGAATCTCAAGGCTGATGTCAGAGGACACTGCTTGTTCCCTGAGAAATTGTCACGCCATAGGCTAAGGCACCTTTGGAAGATGTTAGCAGGAATCTAGGAGTTAGTAGCACATGCTGATTCAGTTATTTTAGGCTTCTCCGGATACTTCCTCCTCCTATGGCCCCTGGAGCCTGCACATAGCCTTTGTCCCATAGGGTGTGGAAAACAGAAATTTCACTCTCCTGGCCCTTCAAAGCTATTTCCAGTCCATTATTTCTCCACCATCACGTAAAAACTCTTCTCCTTTGATAGTCATACCACCAATTGCCGTATAGTCTGCCCCTCCTTCTGGCGCCTTCTGTGTAAGTTGTCCACTTCAGTGTATTTTCTGCCTTGAACAGAAAATTAGAAGTAAAAATACATTACAGAGACAGAAAAATATTAAGTATGTCTACCTGTGCTTGTTTACCAAGCCATACAAACACCACAATATTATTGTCCCCTTGTTGTTGCTGGCTGAGCAATCAGGGCTCATGATGGACTTACTCAACTTACTTTCCACTTATCAGTTATGTTTTTTAAAAATCTATTATTGGTGAGTGAGATCATAAGTCCTTTTTAAGGGCAAGGTCATTTGTAAAAAGTGAATAAATCTCATGTTTTAGTTCCAAATAAAATATTTGCCCATTTGTGCCATGAGGCATGGATGATTGCCTGAGGCACATAGCAATAGTAGTAAAGGGATCATTTCAAATTTTACCTCTGCCACTTACTTAACTCTATGATCTTAAACAAGTTATTAATTTATCACAGGGTTAGAGTGAAGATTAAGTGATATAAAATATATTAAGCACTTGACATAAGACCTGGCCATTAATAAAAATTCAGTAAAGGGTAGATATTATAATATATGCAATTATTATTATCAATAGTGTGCATTATTCTTTAATGATTCAACACATAGGAATATTTCAGATCACTGAAGCTTTTAGCTATTTGTGAGATAGTTGACTTTCCTAAAATGTATCATATGATTCCCTTTATTAAACAGAGTATGCCAAATATAACTTAATCTTTTTGATGGCACAAAATCATTATTATGACCCTCAGTAACTGTACTGAACTATAATGTGTTTCCCTCAGTGTTTTCTGGAATGGATTGGACTGTTTACCACTACATTAACAAGAATACTGTGCTCTTAGAGTTTATTTGTCGAGTGCTTTGCAACTTTCCAGAACACATTCACAACTAGGATTTCTATCCCTTATTCAGGCAGAATTGGTTGGGTTATGCTGTGGTAACAACTCCCACAGTTCAGTAACTAAAAGAAACTAAGTTTTATAGTTTCCTTGTGCCACATGTCCACTGAGGGTTGTTGAAAGCTCTGCTTCTTATCCTCACTTCACAACCCAGGCAACCCCAAACATCTCCCATCACTATTCCAGAGAAAGAGAACGTGGCAAGTCATCCATTAATTCTTCAGGCTTCTGCCCAAAAGGTACCGAGGTCACTTCCACTCACACTAGGCAAGTCAGGTAACATGACTATGTCTTACTTCAAAGGGAGCAGGAAAGTGTTGTTCTACCAAATGCCCAAAGGGAGAAGAACCAGAATATTTCTGAATAGTTTTAATGACTATCTTCTCTCTCAACAACTGTTTCCTGAGAGAGGTCTTTCCTGATTTTTGTTATATATCTAAAATAGCTCCTATTCTTTCTTTCCCCTTTTTAACTTTTATTTTACCTTGAAATATATATATATATATATATATATATATATATATATATCCTATCTAATAAAGAGGGAATATGCTAATTGACCCTCACACCATTGCAAAGATGGCAGAGCGCACAGCCAATAAGGAGGGAATATGCTAATTGACTGCCCTGCCCTCAAAGATGGCGGCACCCATAGCCACAAGATGGCCAGCAGGGGAGGGCAATTGTGGGCAATCAGGCCAGCAGAGGAGGGCAGTTAGGGGTGACCAGGCCAGCAGGGGAGGGCAGTTGGGGGTGACCAGGCCAGCAGGGGAGGCAGTTGGGGGAGACTGGGCTGGCAGGGGAGGGCAGTTGGGGGCAACCAGGTTGGCAGGGGAGGGCAATTGGGGGCGATTGGGATGGTAGGGGAAAAGTTAGGCATTGATCAGTCTGGCAGGTGAGTGGTTAGGGGGTGATCAGGCTGGCAGGCAGAAGCAGTTAATGGCAATCAGGCAGGCAAGTGGTTGGGAGCCAGCAGTCCCAGATTATTTAGGCCCAATCCCTGTGGTATCGGGCCTAAATCAACAGTCGAACATCCCCTTAGGGGTCTCAGATTGGAGAGGATGCAGGCTGAACTGAGGGATACCCACCCCACCCCCACCCCCAGTGCACAAATTTTGGGCCTCTAGTATATATATAATCTCCTATTTTATACCCTGTTTTTGGTGAGTTTCTTTCACCATAGAATGCACATTCCATGAGGACAGAAACATTGCCTTTCTTATTCACTAATATATCTAGCATCAAGAACAAATAATTTTTTGAAGAATAAACAAGGAGTAGTTCTGTTTCTCAAAATAGTGATATCTATCACACATATTCACTCATCTGGGAGAATCACAGCTGATTAGTTCACCGTCAGTCTTTGTAAGCAGCCCAGGATTTTGCATTTCCCCAAACAGGTCCCAAGTCAATTTTCTCGCAAAGCAGATGTGCTTTGTATCTTTCACGAGTTGGTTTTGATGACGCCTTGGAAGTAAGTATCTTATTTAACAAAACCTTGCGAAGGAGACCTCAAGATATTTAAGATATTTCAAGGTAAAAGCTGAAGTAGTACAAGCAATGAAGAAAAGCCAGCTCTTAGGGGTAAAGTAAGGGCTGAGTCATCAGCCAAGAGCAGGGTCTCGAAACATTCAGAAGAGGGAAAACAAGCTGCCACAAATAACAGCTCAAATGGTTTTAAAAGATCAGAATCAACTACTTCCCAACAGAGGGAAAGTCACTAAATTTTGTCAGTTTGCGGTGTTGTAAGTAAAGGCTTTAAGTCTGTACCATTTCATTGGTTGGTATGTACACGTGTATGAGTGCATTCAGGATACTGATTTTTTTTCCCCTGAAAAATTCTTGTAAGGATTATGGTGTCACACCTGAATACATATGTAAGCGAAATGAGGAAGTGAAAAACGCCCAGGAAGAGTATGATAACTACGTCCAAGAAAGCCTCCGGAAAGCAGCCATGAAAAGGCTCTCCGATGAAGAGAGGGAAGGAGTGCTGCAGGTAAGGGTCCTGTAACTTCTGGCTCCATGTAACTCTTGAGAACACCGCTTAAAGAAAGGTCTGCCGCCAGTGATTAATAATGATTAACGAAGCAGGCACTTTGACTTTCAAATTCGATGGCTCTCTTTTCGTTATGGTGACAACTCCATGCAGCAAAGATGACTCTTCAGGGAAAACAAAGAGTTGAAATATAGGGATTATTATTTGTTTCCAATTTGGTGAGCTTCTGTTTTTTCCTGAAGTAGTTAGTGTTGTAAGGCAGCCCACCGTCTTCTTCAACAAACATGCCTACAGAGAAGAAAAAGCATTTTTATTTTTATTCTCATGTCCCTGAATTATTAAAAATAATACCCACAAAATAGACATTTTTCACTAGATGGAGCTCTAGAATAATTGAAACTCTCCCTAGACCAACATTTTGTTTTCTATAAGACAAATGCTGAGATTTTAACGTATCCAGATGTTAGATTTTACATGTATTTTTCTTATTTTGAAAAAATAAAGATAACATTTACATCGGAGTGTTTGATACAAGATTTTATCTGAAGCACTGAAAATATTAGGGATGTGAACATGGTTGTATTTATTAACTATGTACCTACCTGTATTCTTCTATAGTCATCCCATCTCTTATAGAAGTCAAAATAGTACTTTACCTATTATTTTTGAAAGCTTTCTACAAAGCCATTTCTAGTGACCTTTTAAAAACAGAAAAAAAAATGTTTTCTTACCACATTAATTTCTGTTGAGAAATGGATTCATATGCACTATAAATTCTTAACATTTAACAATTCCTTCATAATCATCAATAAACATTTTTAAAATGTCTATTTCACATACAGTATCATGATAAGCCCCGAAGATATTAAGAAGGGTAGGTGAAAATTCCTGCTGTAGGAATATTGTCATTTAATTGATGGATAAATTAAATTATTTGTCTGTGTGTATAGAGCCTACGTTTTATAAGGTTCCAAGGATACAGGTAGGTCATTAGCTGGGCCTGAAACTCAGAGTAAGAGTGGATTCAAGGAGTGGCGTAAGGGCAGAGACTATACGACTGTGTACCTTGCATGACAGCAGGCTTCTGGGTGCCTAACCCACTGCCCAGTATGAACACGGCTGTTTCATGATGGTGTCCTGGAAAGAAGAAAGGACGATGGCTGGCAGGACACTGACAGACCTGGAGGCGGGGCTTTCATGTCACGTTCAGGAAGAGCACTAGCTTTGGCCCATCTCTCTCTCTCTCTATCTCTTTCTGCTGCATCTACCATTTTTAGAAAATACGTGCTTTTATGGAAGCCAGATTTTTATATCTAAATGATACTGAAAAATAGGGAAAGAGAAAAAGAACTTCCCTCAGAAGGAAAAGGCTCTTCTGCCCTGCACCTTTTTGGCTGTAATGTATAAACTGCCCTCAGCTTCCTAATATAGTTACTACAGAATATCTTTGCTTATCCTTTAAGTGACAAATCCTCCATCAGATACCTTATTAGTCAGGTAGTGTAGTAATGTAGCTGCTGTGATAACAACGCCACTAGCTATGCTCGTGACAAGCCCTGAACCATGCTTCCTTCCCTGGTTGAGTTGCACATAGTTCTATGACAATGTGGTTGTATGTCCCTGAGCCATCACACTCTCCTGCTAATTTTTTATAAAATAACAGTCTCATTATACCTGGAAGAGATCATCTGGCCTAACGATCCCAAACTTCTCATTTTAAGATAAGGGTATAAAATGCAAATATGTTAAGTGGGCTAATTTGTTCATTCATCCATGGATTCATTTATTGAACATCTACTGTGTTCCAGGCGCTGTACCCAAACTGTAGTGAGCAAAACAAATGCAGTCCTTAGCTGAACAGGGACTGAAGTCCAGATTGGCCAATTCCCAGGCCAGTATTTTCCCACTGCGTGATGTACACGTACATAGGAAGTAACCAAAGGCAGCTCTATCAGTCAAGGCTGCCGCAGGAAATAGGAGGCACGCTCAGCTGGGATTCTGCAGAGTTTTGAATGAACTATTTACAGATGTGAAGCAAGGCTAAGGGAACCAACAAGGAACACTGAGGCCCCCCAGACTAAGGACAGTGGGAATCCACCACCACCTGAGGATTGAAGGGCAGAGCAAGGAGCTGTGCTACCAGAGCCCAGTGACAACTGGAACCTGGAAGATGAGCCACTTGACAGGTGTTGTCACAGATGGATGAGCCAGAACTAGTGTCAGGTGATGTTAAGAAAGAAGCAAAAGAAAGGGCCTACCTGTCTCTCCCTCCAGTGCCACCTTTGGCCGAACTGGGCAGAGACTGGAGGACAAAAGGGCTGCGGGCTGGGGGGTATTCTACAAAAATCAACCCATGCCACCACCCCTCTAGTCACAGTGCAAGACAAGAAGGTGAGGAATGGGTGGGGTGGGGGAGGGGTACAAAAGGAGCATAAAACTGAACGAAGGCACTATTTTATGACTGCTTCACCCCATTTGAAGGTTTTCTAAAATTAATCATATTTCAGCATAAAAATAAAGGAGAGAAAATTTCAGAAATAAAAATAAGGAAAAATCACTATTGCTGCAATGAATAAAAGATTTTTTTAGATGAGTTAAGAAAAGTCTTAAAAAACAGCTAAAAGATTATTTCAATAATATGAAATATTAGTTGCATTCAATGGCCATTCTTGGCTATTGACTTTGATCCAAAGGTTATTGTACACAATGGAAGATAAAGAAAATTATCCTTTAAAAGAAAATATAGAGGAAAAAATGTAGCTGCTGTGACCACAAATAATATGGAACTATCACCCAACTAAAAACTTAATAAAATGTTTTAAAAATAATATCATCCAACTAGAAATAAACAACCTTTGATATTTGTAGTGTATAAATTTCCTCTCTGCAATAGATACCCCTGTGGAGCATTGTGGAAATATATTTCCCATTTGGATTATAGCTCATGTACTATTAAGAATTGTACTAAACCACCCCCCTCTTAAAAATTTAACCTGGATACGTTTCCTTCTATCTTCCTCCTTTCCCAAAGCCTTGATATAATCTCACTCAAGGGTTCAAAATTTTTTATCCTTTTTTTTTTTCAACCAACCTATTCTATACAGTATGCCCTATCCTATCATTACTTTATTTCTAACCTAGGCATGAAAATAAGTCATTGAAATTTTATTATCCCTGGAAACTTTCTACAAGATTAAATTTTTACTATAAGGGTTTATTATGAAGGCATTATTATATAAGACACTTCTAATCTTCTCATAAACCTAAATTCATGGTCACGATTTTCAAGGACCATATTATCAAGACAATACTTTTATTGTAGTTTCAGTTTTACTTTTTTGTTTGTAAAAAAAAATAACATGCATGCAGAGTGAATAAAATAAAGTGTTGATTTACAAAATTTTATTGCATGAATTCAATTAGTAGTTGAATACCATTTTGTCAGTGGGGCCTCAGTGTACTGTGATAAGAAATTGTAACAACACCGAGATAGAAATAACTGTTATTGCTCCTAAGAGATCCCTAATTTTGAATTTGTTGGTTACTGAGAATATAAAAATTAACTACATTATTAAATTAGCATGTGTGTTACATTTAATGACATTTCAGTAATTTCTAAAATACATTACTGGAAAGTATAGATCCCTTGGCTCTATGGAGGAGGAATTCTAATTCATTGAAAGAGACATAAAATATAATATCTTGTGAAATTGAATTTTGGTATTTTGTACAATTCCATTTAGTCAGGTGTAAGAAAATAAGACCATGCAAGTTAGAATCTAATCTTTTGATGTAATTTTTCTGTTGAAGAATGAGGATGGTGGTTTGAAAAGAAAATTCTAAAGAAAAAAATTTAAAAATGTTTAAGAAATAATTTTCTGTTCAAAAATGTTTTTTTAATGTCTGAGGGTATCAATTCTAAGTTGTTGTTTTTACCAAAAAGCATTTCCTGTGAGCTTAGTTTTATACTATTCATAACTCGGCATGTGCATATTTGTTGGTAAGACAAGTACAGTAACATTAGAAACAGAGCAAATAAATACTCCCACTGGGATCTGAGCACACAATCAGGACAGGGTTTGGCCTCTGTACAGTACTTGTTGTTACTGTGGCCAAGTACTTGATAAATACATATCATTTTAAAAGTCACTTTTGTCAGTTTGGTTTTTTAACCTACTTATATTTTGCTTATCAGTGTAGTCTTCTTTATCATTTAGTTTACTTTACAATGTACTTTACTTTGGCAGTTGACGGTAGTAGTTACAGTTTCCCTTACCATTTGCAGGGGCTAAAAAAGAACTGGGAAGAGGTGCATAAGGAGTTCCAGTCCCTCTCCGTCTTCATCGATTCTTTACCAAAGAAGATGC